GTTTGTAACAACGGAGCTTATAGAACAGGTACTTGGTGAAGTTTGTAACAACGGAGCCTATAGAACAGGTACTTGGTGAAGTTTGTAACAACGGAGCTTATAGAACAGGTACTTGGTGAAGTTTGTAACAACGGAGCTTATAGAACAGGTACTTGGTGAAGTTCGTAACAACGGAGCTTAATTGCTGAGCAATTATCCCCACTTGATGGTGCATGTTTTAAGGGTTGAACTTTAATGGAACGTCAATAGGAAAAGCTGAACATAAATAATTTCACTGAATGAATCCCTCGTTTAAATATATATATATATAGTCTTTATTTTAGCGCAAATCTACACACAGGGCCTTTTGATCTGTATCTGCGAAGGAAATCGAACCTGATTGTTAACGTCACAAGTCCTCAAGCTAAAACCAAAACATTAAAAGCCATAAAGAGTAAAATTATTTTTGTATTCACACTTATCACTAGAAATATATTTTAAGTGTTATGATGTATACAGTTACTATAAATTGTAAATAAATATTCAAATAATTTGGTGTTTTTCAGTAAAACATTTACGTTTTTATGTTTACAATACACCCAAAAAAACACCAAAAACAACTAAATTACTAAACATACTTAGAGTAGTTAGTTGATTCTTGTTTAAATTGTGATAATTAGATTTACTTTGTTTTTATTTTGTTAATAAAGTTTTTTGAATTCGATATTATATGGAATATAACACACACTACAATCTAGTAGTAAACAATATTTTTCTCTGCTGCAAATGTAAAATAAACGAACTTTTGAGATAGTAAGCCGACAAACTGATTTAACAATGGCAAACATGCGTAAGTAACGTTAATTCATTTTGTTGGTGTCGCGGTCTTATTTGAAAGTCTCTGCTTTACAATTTATTCTGAAAAATACATATAGACAATTCTAATTTATACTTTTTGAATAATTATGGTTAAAGTTGGCCAGTTGATAAATTAGAATAATTATAACACACCAAAACAACATAATAGTGAACTATGTTTTATTAAAAAAAGTTACATTTACTTTTTACAAAATATGATGGTCCAAGTATTATACATCGCAAAAGGCACGAATAATTTTTTTTACCAAAAAACTTTTGAACAATATATATACAACCTCAAATATAGAATGGGAGATACTTCTTAAACCTGGTTTAAACGGGCGTTATTTATAGCAACATTACAGAACATGAGTCTGTATTCTTGTCACGATTCAATAAGTCAGTAAGCAGCTGTTTCTGCTACAGCTGCTTCACACAAATCACGGTAAGCTGACCGAATAGCTAAACAAACAGCATTGTTTGTTGGAAGACTCCAAATAACCTTCTGGACCTCTTTCAACGTCTCTTTATCCGGGACACTTGTAGAATAATCTGGAAAGATGTCGAAGTGCAGAAAAATTACATACGAAGATTCACACTAGCTCTACAACTTTGATTTAGGTAAAATGTGTGGTTGTCAGTATATGTAGTATAAAAATATGCCTCATGTATCGACCCATAAAACAGATATACATATGTCAGTCAGCTTATCTGGTTAACTATATGCAGCCAAGAGAACTGATAATATACGTAACATGATACATTCTTGATAGTTAGTTGTTAATATCAACCTACATATATACATGTATATCAAGATATATTATAATCAGATAACCAGCTATGTATCGACCCATAAAACAGATATACATATGTCAGTCAGCTTATCTGGTTAACTATATGCAGCCAAGAGAACTGATAATATACGTAACATGATACATTCTTGATAGTTAGTTGTTAATATCAACCTACATATATACATGTATATCAAGATATATTATAATCAGATAACCAGCTATGTATATGAATGGTTAACAAAGGATTCCGATTGGGCAGCCTGCTGGATTTTTATCCAAACTTGCCACATGGGTGGTTGTTGAAACTTTTAAAGTGTAAAATATGTTGGAGTTTTATTTAAACTTAGCATATAAGTGGTGGATGATTTTTGAATAAGCAGCTTATTCCAGATTTATTTAAACTTGGCTTCTGAGTGGTTCAATAAAATTTTTGACTTTGTTTAAAAGCTTAGAGGAATGACAATTTTCTCCGCAGTGTGCATGTCACCTTTATCAGATAGTTGAGTCAGAACATTTAGCAACCAACTTCCACAAACTATGTTCTTGTGCAAAGTGGTCTATCTACGTCTTTTAAGGCAAGATGCATTGTTTTTCTAATTCTGTTAAATTTGTTATCTTAAGATTGTCACATTTAAGAAACTCTCCAAACTTTAATCTAAAACGTATATCTTTGTAAAAGCTATAGGAGATTAGTGTACCAATTCATCAATCAGTGTTTTGATGATTGAGATACAAAGTATGACGAATCATGTGTGTCATTAGTAAAGATAAGTTTTGTATGTCATTTGTGTCTGAGTCGCTGCCAAGTACAGATAAAACTCTAGCAGGTTACCTGTCTGGTATTCTTCTGGTGTACACCCTCTGCAATGGGAGAAATTCTTACTAATACCCGATTACCCTCTTACGTGTGTTCTGACATGCATAAAAAGTCTGAAACTTATTGTACAGAAAGTGAGAACTTTAATGTTTTCAGATTATAGTTACTCTTGCTTTTCACAGAGTTAAGACATCTCAATTCAAATACATCAAGTTCTCAGTACAACTACTGGCAAAAGGAGACAATAAAATACAATAATGTATATACTGCTCTTTCTCAGTATCTGATGGACTCTGTTCACAACACACCTAATGAGTTGTCCTTACACTTACCAATTACTGATGGAGAAAACATGTCCATAACACATGCATGAGAGTAACAAATATGTCCAAGTTGCAGCAACAATGCCACCACATCTTCAAAAAGTGGAGGGAAAGCCTTGCACATCCTAACGATAGCTGGTAGTGCTGGCAATATCAACTGTGGCCTTCTTTCACTTGGTATCACTGGAGGAAGAAAAATAAAGCATGTGTGAATAGAGAGAGATTTGTATATGATAACATAAACTGAACTGTTTGTTCCTGAAACTAATATAGGTAGCATTTGGTTTGGAGACTCCAAAGATTTAAACATTAACATTAAAAATCTTATTTTGAAGTTACTATAGTAAAGCATTCTTAGAGCAACAGTAGAAAATCCTACTTTGTTCTTGGCTATTTCTAAGCAATCTTCCTTACCTACCATTAGAAATACATTTATTTTTGTTTTTTTTCTAGAAGTTTTACTGCCTAACAGTAGAAATTGTACTTTGACTACTAGCAGATGGTGTGCATTAATTATAACACTGATCCCTAGCTCATCCTGGATATTATTTCTATCTAATACAAAATATACCTTAGGAATGATTAGAAAACCTTGTTTGGTTACTGCAGCAATAATCCAATCAAATTTACTACTCGAGCTTGCAGACTTCTGGAAAGGAACTATCTTTTACATTGTTATATCTTACTTTCTGTTTAATAATTACATTGAATAAATCAATTTGAACATAAATTATATAAACAATTTAATTCCTTATCAATTATGTCCAATTTCTTTATATTATATACATATATATATCTCATTATTTGTTTTTTCTTTTAATACTTTCCTCTCCAATCACATATTAATATTATACCTTTTGTTTCATTGGTTTCTCTTTCATTTCCTTACAATTTCATATGTATTATCATTTCTTGCTTTTCTTTACAAATTCTGTATTTCCTTTTTCCACCATATGGTACAATACCTTGATATAATAAGTTTTTTTCAACCTTCGTTTGATTTTCTTTATCCTACCATTCCTACACCTACATTTATATTTTTTACAATAGTCTTTATACATACATTTCAATCCTACCCCAAGTTCTGTTCAGTTTTTTCATTGCAACCTTCTTAACCTTGCTTTTCTCAAAAATTTTCAACTTGTTCTCCTTCAGCAACCATATCATATACTTTGGGATTTCCTTCTTCCTCAAATGTCTCTTCATTTCTTTTATTATTTCCTATTCTATTTGAAATTACTTTCAAACAATGTTTTGGCTATCTTCCTTCATCTTTAGTAAGCCCAATTTATAGGCACAAATTTTTTTCATATTACTGATTGCCATACCAATTTTTTCTACCTCTACCACAGAATGTAATAAGGTGTTTCTACCTAAACCTAGTCAATTAATATATTTTGCTCTATATTTAATATTATAATTTACAGCACTTTTAAAAAAAGTGCAAATATCTATTCATATTCCACATTTCACTTCTTTCAGCTGCATTTCATGCTGTATTTACTACTCATTGTACTTTCACCTTAATGTATTTTATCTGTTTCATAGCCATATTCCTGTTGACCCTTTCGGGATGGGTCACAGGTGAAAGGCCATGTCATCTCCTTTGTTGACGCACATTCAAAATTTTATTGAACTACTATTTATCAAATTTATGTCAATAAGTTTGGTATCAAAATGTAGATCATAATTCAAATTTTAGAACTATATATTATTCAATTTGTTAATTTAAAAGTAAATATTAAAAAAACCAGATAAACCGATTTTTGTGTGTCACGTGGTATGTTGAATGCAGCATTGGTTCAAATTAGATGTTTGTGAAGTCAAAATACTAAGTCTATAGTTTCATATGAATTAGAAACTCAAATTACAGATATTGACAAGCTAGAATATAAAATAAGAAAGTATTATCTTTTCTATTTGCTAAGATATTGCTCACATAAGAAATCAAACATAGTGACACCCCACTCACCTCCTTCCATTTTTGGAAATGCTGCCTTATATACACTTACTTCTATATATATAATATGAATAACCAACTGGAACTCAGAATGTCCCCCTAGTGGTTTTCTCAGCCTTTCCAACATACCTAGTGCCATTTCTTTTAAACCAAGATATGAATGAGGTAGATTGTGGGTTTAGTCTGCTCAAAATTTCATATTTTTTTGAGACCCAAATTCAACTTAGTTACCAAGTTTGATAAATTATAGTAGAATTCAATGATATTGATGTAGTAATTTATGATTTTTTAATTATTCAAAA